ACTTAAGATCTATGCATTTCTCTATATATGTTATACTTCAATTACAACTGTTTTAAAATATATGATTACCAAATGAATACTCTTATGACTTAAAAAGTACCCTTGAATTTGGTGGCTGAAAACACTAACATTTCATTAGCTCTGGAATCTGCAATTTGGACATGGATCAGCATGGACAATTCATTACTTCTCTCTTTGCCAGTAGCCAGTGACTGGTATTATCTAAAGGCTCACTCACTTACATGTCAGATGGTAAATGCTGGCTGAGACTTTAGCTGGGCCTGTAGGTTCAAGCACCAACACAAGGCATCTTTATGTGCCCCGAGATTCCTCATGATATGGTGGCTGTGTTAGAATAACTTTATATTCAGTGTGACTCTAATTCTGTTTCAATATACACACACATTCTAAAAAAAATTAACAGAAGTTTTCCCTGGAGTGAAGAAAAATGAGTGATTTTCAAACTTTCATAGTTATACATCTTTCTTTTATAAATTTTATACCATAAACATGTATTACTTTCTAAATCAGATGAAAAAAATTCAGTTCCCTGTTAACGTACATAATACACTAGTGTAAACACAAATGAAATTGAAAATGCAAAAATGTCAAACATATTTACATTATAAGAAAAGGAATCTGCTCACAAACAGCAAAAACGTTATGAAATACTTGATTCATTCTGCCTTACTTCCCCCTCCCATCATGAGACAGATTTTCACTCCTGTTGCCCAGGATGGAATGCAATTTGCTCACTGCAACCTCCACCTCCTGGGTTCATGTGATTCTCCTGCCTCAGCCTCCTGAGTAGCTGGGATTACAGGCATGCACCACCATGCCCGGCTAATTTTTGTATTTCTAGTAAAGATGGGGTTTCACCATTTTTGTCAGGCTGGTCTTGAACTCCTGACCTCAGGTGATTTGCCTCCCCCAGCCTCCCAAAGTGCTGGGATTACAGGCCTGAGACACCTCGCCCAGCCCACCTTACTTTTCAAGTTTCAGATGAACTGAACATCAGCACATCAGAAACTAACAAAGAACACAAACATGCTCGATGATATCTGATGTCTTCTAAATCACACATCTGGCCCTTTTCATGGCACAGCTCTCCCTTAGTTCAATTCCTTCCTCAAAACCTTCTCTCCATATTTTCCTTTAATCAAAATCACCTACTAAACATTACCCTAGAAATAAAATCATCTGAAAAGCAAGGCCTACAAAGGCAAACCTCAGATGCTAGATACTTTATATCTTATAGCATGGTGTCACCTCACTTGATAATAGATCTTTTACTAAGATTTAAGGCCTACTGAACAAATACTATGGCTACCTCAAGGTCACTCTGGAATTCTCAGTAATGATTAAACAACACAGGAGTCAATTGCAAGATCTTTTGATCCTTTTCCTTCCCTGGCCTCAGCCTTACTGCAAAACACTTCCTCCCTTCTGCTACCTGGCCCCACAAGGCATGTTCTTACATTCCATATGGACCAATAATTTCTATCATCTCATAAATTCTATACTTACTCTAGTAAAAAGTTAACTGCTTTTGTTACACTAAAGTCCTTTTCTTCATCTGACATTAAACAACTACTTCTATAATTTTCTAATTTTTCAAAACACTGTTAATTTGCACACACCAAATCAACATACTTCTATGTTGTATTTTTGCACTTTTCATTTCCTGATTTGCCTTTTTCCTGCAGACTCACACTATTTGATTACAACAAATTCCTAAGCTTTTTCTCAACCTGGACTATTTACATTATAAAAATGTCCCATGTTCTCTAAAATGCTCAATTTAAAAATGATAGCTAAATGATTTTATTCATCCAATTTTACAATATGAGTTTTTAGTTATTTCAAGAACTTCATCAACAAGCAAGTCAATTCTTAGTTACTTCAAAGAAACAAGTATCAGTATGAAAAGTTAAGGCTTATGTGGTATTAATCAAATATTCTCAAAACTTGCTCAAATAGAAACTGTAAATATACTCACGTGTTGCTTAATAATGGAAGTACATTCTTAAAAATGCATCATTAGGCAATTCACTGTGGACATCACAGTGGACTTACACAAACCTAGAGAGTCTAGCCTACTACACATGCACATAGATGGTACAGTCTATTACTTCTAGGTTACAGACCTATATAGCAGCTTACTGTAATGAATACTATAGTATGTATGTACCTAAACATAGAAAAGTTACTGTAAAAATACAGCATAAAAGATAAAAAGTGGTATACCTATATAGGGCACTCCCCATGAATGGAGACTGCGGGACTAAAAGTTGTTGTGGGGAAGTGGGTGGTTAATGAATGTTAAGGTCTAAGACATTGCTCTACACCACTATTGACTTTATAAAGACTTTACACTTAGGCTACACTGAAAAGTTCTTCTTTCTTCAGTTAACCTTGGCTTACTGTAACTTTTTTTATTTTACAAATTTTAAACTCTTCTATAATTGCACTTAGCTTAAAACACACATTGTACATCTGTATAAAATATTCTTTTCTTATATCCTAATTCTATAAGCTTTGTTCTATTTTTAATTTTGAAACTTTTTCTTAAAAACTAAGACACAAACACCCACTAGCCTAGGCCTACACAGGGTCCAGATCATGCACATCACTGTCTCCCACCTCCAATCTCATTGTACTGAAAGGTTTTCAGGGGTAACAACACGCATGTAGCTCTCACCTGCTATTATGACAGTGCCTTCTTCTGGAATATTTCCTGAAAGACCTGCCTCAGGCTGTTCTATAGTTAACTTTTCTTTTAAATCAACAGAAGTACACACTAAAACAATGATAAAATGGGTAGAAAATACACAAACTGATAATGTATATAATGTTATCAAGTATTATGTACTGTACATAATTGCATATGCTACACTTCTACAGGGACTGGCTGCACAGTAAATTTGTTTACACCAGCATCACCACAAAAAACATGAGCAACTAAGAAATTATGAATACTACAGCTTCACTAGGATATGGGAATTTTTGAGCTCCCTTATAATCCGTGGGACCAAAATGATATATGAGCTCTGATGACCTCACTGGCACAATGCAGCACATAACTGTACTACACAAATTAGGGCTATACATGACTGTACAAATTGATAGTAGTCCCAAGCTACAAACTCAAGACCTTCAGCTAAACAAAGACATGTCAAAAAGTTTTAAGTCCTGTCTCCTTCCCATGATTCTCCTGATTATTTCAGTACTGAAAAGAACTTTCTCTGGTTGCTGAGATGTTTAAATGAGTTCATTACTATGAAAAAGGTATTATTAGCATAACAAAGAAAATAGTTCGGCATGGGAGGGAGGGGTAAGCCTATGGCAGACACTGGGTTCGGAGAAAGGAAAGAAAGGGGGAAGAGAAAGAGAGAATGTGAACACAGGCCAGTCTCCCTAAAAGAAATGTAAATGTATATGGCTATCTCCCTTGCTCCTCATCATCAATATGTTTTTTTTACAGACACCTATTCTGCATTTGCTAATAAACTGGCAGCAACCCATTTAAATCAGGAGTGTGACATGTTACAGTGCATGTCAGGGTGGAAAACAGAGATGATCTCCCACAGGGCTGAGAAGATGAAAAACACTAAATTCTGATCAATTTATTAATAAACAGAAAACAGTATTTTCTTCAAATACATGATTAATTTTATTACCAATACTTTATTCCCAGGATACACATTATAACTGCTGTTAAAGATAGGTGGGCATGACTGCAATAAGAGATTTCAACAGAAGGCAGAATTATTTTTTTCTATTTAATTATTTTGTATTTGACACTTGTTCCACATAAGTTTATTTAAAAGAGTAAAGCACAGGGCAGCCTGTACACTAATGTCAGGTTTCCAGCTTGCTGCTAGGAAAAGCAGTCTGGATAAGAGAGAATCTGTATTATAAATGAAATCACCTAAGAATAAACAACATGTGTACATTCCAGCTAAGTACAGTGAAGCAGTATCCCTTGTAAAGTGCAAACACTTACTTCTAGGTTAAGTACGCTACAAACAATTGTAAGCGAAATTTCCAAAGTCAACTACCTTTAGCTTGGGGCTAGAGCAATCACCTAACTCTACCTCCCACACCCAGCATCAACAACTTTTTAAAATCTTATGCTGAATTCTCCCAACAAAATACTTCCAAGCTTTCTTTGCTGAATAAAAATGGCGCTGCTTTTCTGGTCACATTATTGTTGATTTCTCAGTAATCCTTAGGCCCTTTAACCATCAAACTCAATTGGCCTCATTTAAATGCCACCCTTTCCTGAACACTGCCAAGTGCTTTTTTGAGGGTTGGGCCAAGAGGTAAGTGTCGCTGCTTCCATCTGCAAGGTTGCAACTCCCTCTCACTTTTCTTCATAATCTCGGCCTTCCCCGAAACTGTTGCCTCTGTCTCCCTTAAACCACACTCCAATGAAAACTGTCCCCAAAGTGCAGTAGCACTTAAGCTTCTCTGTGCCCCTCGCACTCATGGACACCATCTCTAATGCACCGTTCACGCCTAGACCCACGCCTCAGCCTTTCCGGGGGTCGTTCAGAGCCACCTGCCAGGCAGGCACTACCACGCCGGCCTCTCCGGAGCACAGACTTCTGCTCCGTCTACATCCCAGCCTGTGCACCCGAAGGGACCCAACAGCTGAGTCCCAGCCCCACTGCGGCAGAGGGCAGGGACCAGCACGCACACCCTCAAGTCTACATGAAGACCCTCCCCGAGACTGTCGCCAGCACCGACCCCTGGATCACCCCGGCCCTGGGCGACGGATGGGGGTCTGGGGCGCATGCCCCAGAGGCATGGAGGCAGAGAGGAGGCCAGCGGAAGTTAGAGGTCACTGGGACAGGCTTGTCTTCCCCTCCCTTCCAGCAGTGGCGGGCCCCAGTCCCCACCCCTCTCCCAGGCCCCCGGTCTGGTGGCACCATGGCCACAAAGGGCAGCGAGGGTGCGTGCCCGACGCCTCGGTGCCTCGTGGTACCTGAACCCACTTGGTCGAGTGGCAGCTGCACCGCATCGCCGAGGGGCCGCGGCAGGGTGGAGTCCGTGGTACTGGCGGTGCCGGAGGGCGACGGAAAGTCTTAGACTAGGGACTGCTCTCCACCTTGCGCCCAGTGCCGCCCGCGCTCATTGCGAGTGACCGCTCCCTCGCCTCCAACTTCCAGCAACTCCCAACGCTGGTTCTCCACGTTGTGCACGCAGGCGCCGACAGCTGCCCACAGCACAATCCCGGCGTGGAACCCTGACGCGGCAGGCAATCAGAGAGCGCCGGCTGCACAGCGCCCCTCCCCCGTGCTGAGGGGCGGGGCAAAGGGAGGAGGCTCACGGGAAGGTTGTAGCCTGAGGGCGCCTCCTGGGCAGAGTGGGATGCCTTTCTGGGGTGAAACTTTAGAAGGGTGTCGTTGCCCCTTCGCCCCTCCCTTTTTCCTCCCTGGAATGTCATGGCCATCCACCTCTCTCTAGGAGGGACAGCACGCAACCTAGGGGTGGGCAGTGGCCCCCCAAAAAAACAGCAAAGTGAGGGACGTCCAAAGCATTGCTGGGGACATTGGGGACCAAGCTTGGGCCTGGGAGGAGGGGAACGGTGAACCAAACCTAGCTGAAAAGCCCTTTTGTCTTCAAAACTGCTGTGTAAAAGCCCAAAGTGGAAAACAATCCCGTGGTCTGACCCTTTCAGTCCCCCTCCAGCTGCACCTCAGCCATCCAGGCGGAGCGAGGTGTTCCTGGGTTGGATGCCTGTGGTTGCGGGGAGATGGACTCACCTTTGTTGCGTTAAAATTTAGTTCTTTGGTAGCCACCCGCTCTTATTGAACGTCCTGCCTTCCTCCTCAAAGAGGTGGTTTCTAAGCATCCCTTCACCCCCTGAGCACAGTCACCCTCAGACTTTTGAATTCTGCATGTCCGCATACCTTCTGGGTGTTGAGGGAGGGTTATATATATGTGTAATTCATTTGCCCCAAACTTCATAAAAGTAATCCATTTGGGCTCTTTGAAAATGCAACATCAACTTTTGTTCAGCAGACGTTTAGAAGAGGAATGCCACAGGAGGGTTCCTAATTCCCCTTGGGAGCTCAAGACTTAAGGGTTTGGCAGTTTGTGATTTGGGTAAAAATAGTGTTTACTGGGAGTTTAACTACATGTTTTAATACTTTTGGTAGAATAGCTCAATAATCCTCACAATTACGCTGTGAGATAGATACTATTATACACCATCGTTCAAATAAATTGAGGCACAGAAAAGTTATGTAATTTGCCCAAGAACACACAACGAAGTAGATTGGAATCCAAGTAACCTACCTCCAGAGCTGACCTTGCCACTAGACCTTTGTCTTCCTTACACCTAAACCCATTCCAGAAGTTCCCATCAGCTACCATTTGCTTTATGACTAGTCCGGGATCCTGAACAATAGGACAGCACAGATAAGAAGAATACACCCACTTTGGTAAATCGGTCAGTGGGCTTTAGTTTCTTTGAAAATGAGGCAGTTGAACTAATCAATGCAGTCCCTTTCAGCCTAAAATTGAGTGGTCGATGTAATCTTAGTTTGGTGGATTCTCAACTAAAACTGAATGGAGGATGGAAGGAAGAATAAGAAAAAAACCTGGACCTTCAGTCAACCTGGGGAAGTGTTCCAGTGGGAATTGTAATCAATTAGAGAGCAACCTATTGAGTTAGGTTCTTATTAAAGAATATTAATCCAAAAATATAGATTTCTCTATTAATACAGTATTAGAAAAAACAATTTTTTCATTCTCTTCACTTTGGAAACATGCAGAGGAAGCATACAGCTGGCAGAGCATACAAACTGAAGGAAAAATTGAAATCCCATTTTAAACCATTAAAGATGTGTGTTGGGAACATACTGCAACCTAGAGTAGGCAGCATGGAGAGACAGTCTCTGTGCACCACAATGCCCAGCTAACTTTTGTACTTTTTGTAGTTTCAATAATGTCTACAAAAGGAGTTTCCTTAGGCTGAATTTTTATTTTAGTCATACATGACAGAACATAGCCTATATTTAAGCTTACTTCACCTAAAAGCCTTAACAGAGTTTTGTGTTTACAGAAGTAAATAGGGTAATAACTAGTTTTGATCTATTTTGAGCTTTTACAAACTACACAGTAGGAAAAGATTTCAAAAGAGCAAGCAGTAATTATATAAAGATTTTATGGATGAAAGTTAAGCAAATGAATGTATAACTTATTTGCATTATGGTATTACTTTGTGACACATTTAAAATTATTACTCTGATTGATGATTTTGAAAATTCCAGGCACCGTTAGACTACATCATTCTGTACAGTATTTCTCTAATTCTATACATATTTATCTTTTTTTGGTTAGCATCCACCTGTTAATCAATTAAACAATACTACATTATTCTAGGACAGCAGCCAGGACCTTTGGACTTATGGCATAAAACTACTCTATTACTTTTGTGTAAAATATATTCCACTACTTGTTCCTAGATACTTATGTTGGAGAGTACTTAAAATTGTTCCCTGAAGTTGCTTGAGTGTCACTGAAAAATAAAAGAAAAAAATTAACTCATGTATATCTGATACAATCCAACAGGAGAGTGGGTCTCCGTGGGGTTCCAGGACCATCTTTATTAGAATCACTCGGGATGCTTTTTGAAAACCCAGATTCTTGGGCAATAGTCAACACATAAAAGAATCAGAATGTGCTATGTCTGAGCCCTACAATCTGCCTTTTATCAGTGTTCATGGGTAATTTCTAAGTACATGGTGAAGTTTAAGAACCATTGCCATGGGCCTTTAATACCTCTCATTTTGTTAAAAACTTCGTTATAATTTGGCAAATGCAAAAATAATTCGCATATGCTGATTCTTATACCAGGACAAGTAATTTAATTAGGTTTTATTCTGTGCTTCTAATTTACAAACAATAAATCCATACTTTTCCTATACTAAATCTGAAGTTAATTCACTAACATTAAATCAGCACTACTAACTATGACAACTAACATTACTAGACCCATTTTATCATTGAAATAAAATAAAAATCAAATGCCCAGGGCCCTTATTGATTGTATGTATAAAAAATATAAATATTCCTGTATATTTCTGAGTAACCATAGTTTCTTACAAATTATAGTTTGTAAGATCTGTGTCCTGGTCAGCACACATCTAAGCCAGCAGAAAGTTATTTGCCCGTTCCTTCAGAAAACTCAGGTGGAATGCTTTAAACACTTGACATTTGAAATTGTGTCGTGTATTTGTGTCTGTTTACTGATTTGCTGTCTGCATCCTGACCCACAAAGTGAGAATGGTATAAGTGCAGGGGCTCTGTCTACCACTGAAGCACCAGCACTGAAAATAGTGCCTAGTGGATGCAGGAACTTAACAAATACTTATTAAATAAACAAAAAGAAAGGGAATCATCCCACATTACCACAGTACATAATATAAAATCTTCACCCTAAATCATCAACAAATCTTTGAAACCACAATGTTTATTTTCAATAGTCATTTAATTGTTTCAGTTTGTTTTATTAGCCAAAGTCTGTAGTATCATACTGCCCTTTTATGCTGTTTAGTGCCTGGAAAATATGCAGCAGAGGCTTTTCTTTTATTCTTGTCCCCTAACATTTCTGGGGCTTAGGGGGGAGACAGGAAGGGAACAATGTTCATGAGTCTTAACTGCTGTATTGCTCTCATAGCTCAAAGGCTACATTAGAATCATCACATCCTTCCTGAAATATGTTGCCAGCCTGTCCTTGGAAGCAGAGCTCTGATAGCTTTGTCTTAAAGAGTGTCTAATGCACTAGACATTGTTTTAAAAATCGCTCTGCCTCCTGGGTTTAAGCAATTCTCCTGCCTCAGCCTCCCGTGTAGCTGGGACTACAGGAGCACGCCGCCATGCCTAGCTAATTTTTGTATTTTTAGTAGAGATGGGGTTTTACGTTGTTGACCAGGATAGTCTCGATCTTTTGACATCGTGATCCACCCACCTCAGCCTCCCAAAGTGCTGGAATTATAGGCATGAGCCACCGCGCCCGGCCACAACAAAACATTTCTATTGTTTTCCATTTATGGTTAATTTCTAATAAACTGTGGAAAATCTCAGAAAGAAAATTTAAAACATTTTAAGACTGCAAGAGTATAGTTAACCTGTTGAAAATGCTGCAATGTCAAGCAATGTATTTACAAAGCAATGCTGACATTTTTAAAACAGGTAAAATTCAATCAGCTAATTTCATTGTATTATCTCTAAGATCTTAGTTCTTTATTTTTCTTTTCTTTAATTTTCTTTTGAGATGGTGTTTCACTCTTTTTGCCCAGAATAGAGGGCAATGGCGCAAACTTGGCTCCCCAAAACCTCTGCCTCCCAGGTTTAAGCGATTCTCCTGCCTTAGCCCCCCAAGTAGCTGGGATTTTAGGTATGTGCCACCATGCCTGGCTAATTATATATTTTTAGTAGAGGCAGGATTACCTCATGAAGGTAAGGCTAGTCTCGAACGACTGACCTCAGGTGATCAGCCTGACTCAGCCCCCAAAAAGTGCTGGGGTTATTTATATTTCAAGTGTCAAACACATAAGGCCAATATTTTGAAAGAAGAAGCAAAATGAGCTTTTAACGTAATCAGCACAATGGTTACACATTTATCATATTTCTGCACAAATATCAATGATGCTTATTATTTCTTCAGTTTTGATTAAATTTATAATATTTTTACACGGTTACAAAAATATAAATACTGTATTTGTACCCCAATGTAAAAAACAAAATTACTTTGAAAATACTCTGTTAGAAAAAATATACAATATCCTTTTCTACACTGTTTTAAAATATATACAAAGTCTAGATATTCTCTCTCTTGTAAAATACGAAAATTCTATTTTTACAGTGTTAGAAACAATATAAATACTCTATTTTACCCAACCGTTAAAAACATAATTACTCTGAAGATACTGTTAGAAAAAATATACAATGCCGTTTTCTACTTTGTTATAAAGTATATACACCGTCTCAATATTCTCTCTCTTGTAAAATACCGAAATGCTATTTATACGCAGTTATAAAAAACATAAATAATCTTTTTGTACCCCAATGTTACATAGAAAACTACTCTGAAGATACTCTGCTAAATAAAATATACAATGCCCTTTTCTACTCTGTTTTAAAGTATATACACTGTCTTAATATTCCCTCTTTTGTAAAATACCGAAATTCTATTTTTACGCAGTTATAGAAATTATAAAAATTCGCTTTATACCCCAATGTTAAAAACAAAATTACTCTGAAGATACTATGTTAGAAAATAATAAAATGCCCTTTTCTACTCTGTTTAAAAGTATATACACCATCTCAATATTCTCTCTCTTGTAAAATACCGAAATTCTATTTTACGTGGTTAGAGAAAATATAAATATCCTCTTTGTACCCCAATATTTAAACAAATTTACTCTGAAGATACTCTGTTAGAAAAAATTTACAATGCCCTTTTCTACTCTGTTTCAGAGTATATACACCATCTCCATATTCTCTCTCAGGTAAAATACCGAAATTCTATTTCTACGTGGTTAGAAAATAATATAAATATTCTTTTGTACCACAATGATAGGAAAGAAATTACTCTGAAGACACTCTGTTGGTAAAAATATACAATGCACTTTTCTACTCTGTTTTAAAGTATAGACACCATCTCAATATTCTGTCCTTTGTAAAATACAGAAATACTATTTTTACGCGGTTAGAGAAAATATAAATACTCTATTCTAAACCAAATACTTAAAACAAAATTACTCTAAAGGTACTCTGTTAGAAAAAATATACAATGCCCTTTTCTACTTTCTTTTAAAGTATAAACGCCGTCTCAATACTCTCTCATAAAATACCAAAATTCTATTTTTACGCCATTAGGGAAAATATAAATATTCTAACCCAAAATGTTTAAAACAAAATAACTCTAATGGTACTCTGTGAGAAAAAATATACAATGCCCTTTTCTACTCTGTTTTAAAGTATATACACCATCTCAATATTGTCTCTCCTGTAAAATACAGAAATTCTATTTTTACAAGGTTAGAGAAAATATAAATATTCTCTTGGTACTCCACTGTAAAAACAAAATTACTCTGAAGATACTCTGTTAGAAAAAATATACAATGCCCTTTTCTAATTTGTTTTAAAGTATATACATCATCTCAATATGCTCTCTTGTAAAATACCAAAATTCTATTTTTACGTGGTTAGAGAAAATATAAATACTCTATTCTAAACCAAATACTTAAAACAAAATTACTCTGAAGGTACTGTGTTAGAAAAAATATAAATTGCATTTTTCTACTCTGTTTAAAAGTATGTACACCGTCTCAATATTCTCTCTCTTGTAAAATACCAAAATTCTATTTTTATGAGGTTAGAGAAAATATAAATGTTCTCTTTATACCCCAATGATAAAAACAAAATTACTCTGAAGATACGCTGTTAGAAAAAATATACAATGCCCTTTTCTACACTGTCTTAGAGAATATACACCATCTCAATATCCTCTCTCATTTAAAATGGCAAGATTCTATTCTTACGTGGTTAGAAATAAATATAAATATTCTTTCTGTCTCCCAGTGATAGAAAAAAAATTTCTCTGAAAAAACTCTGTGAGAAAAAATATAAAATGCTTTTTTCTACTCTGTTTTAAAGTATATAAATGGTCTCAATATTCTCTCTCTTGTAAAATACCGAAATTCTATTTTTATGTGGTTAGAGAAAATAGAAATACTCTATACTAACTCAAATTGTTAAAACAAAATTACTCTTAAAATACTCTGTTAAAAAAAATACAATGCCATTTTGTACTCTGTTTTAAAGTATATAAACTGCCTCAATATTCTCTTTCTTGTAAAATACCAAAATTCTAATTTTACGCAATTAGAAGAAATATAAGTACTCTTGTTGTACTTGAATGTTAGAAAAAAATAACTCTGAAGATCCTCTGTAAAAATAAATATACAATGCCCTTTCCTACTATGTTTTAAAGTATATACACCGTCTCAATATTCTCTCTCATGTAAAATACCGAAAATCTAAAATTACGCAAATAGAAAAAAATATAAATATTATATAGGTACCCCAATGTTAAAAGCAACATTATTCTGAATATAATCTGTCAGAAAATATATACAATGACCTTTTCTACTCTGTTTTGGAGTATATACAACAACTCAATATGTTCTCTCATGAAAAATACCGAAATCCTAATTTTACGCGAATAGAAAAAAATCTAAATATTATCTAGGTACCCCAATGATATAAGCAAAATTGCTCTGAATATAATCTGTCATGAAAAATATACAATGCCCTTTTCTACTCTGTTTTGGAGTATATAGAAAAACTCAATATGCTCTCTTATGTAAAATACCGAAATTTTAATTTGACGCCAATAGAAAAAAATCTAAATATTATTTAGGTACCCTAATATTAAAAGCAAAATTGCTCTAAATATAACCTGTCAGAAAAAATATGCAATGCCTTTTTCTACTCTGTTTTGGAGTATATAAACCAACTCAATATGCTCTCTCATGTAAAACACCGAAATTCTAATTTTATGCGAATAGAAAAAGATCTAAATATTATCTAGGTACCCCAATGTTAAAAGCAAAATTGCTCTGAATGTAATCTGTCATAAAAAATATACAATGCCTTTTTCTACTCTGTTTTGGAGTATATACACCAACTCAATATGCTCTCTCATGTAAAATACCAAAATTCTAATTTTACGCGAATAGAAAAAAAATCTAAATATTATCTAGGTACCCCAATGTTATAAGCAAAGTTGCTCTGAATATAATCTGTCAGAAAAAATATACAATGCTTTTTTCTACTCTGTTTTGGGGTATATACACCAACTGAATATGCTCTCTCATGTAAAAAAACCGAGATTCTAATTTTACGCTAATAGAAAAAAATCTAAATATTATTAGGTACCCTAATTGTTAAAAGCAAATTTTCTCTAAATATAACCTGTCAGAAAAAATATACAATGCCCTTTTCTACTCTGTTTTGGAGTATATACACCAACTCAATATGCTCTCTCATGTAAAATACCGAAATTCTAATATTACTCTAAGTATCTCATAAAGCGCCAAGACCCTCGTGATGTTGTTTTTAATAACTAGGGTATTACAGATGACATTACTTACGATATGACTGCGGTTGTTTGCCGGTCCTGTGATATTGTTTCTAATATCCAGAGAAGGAGAGGAGAATGTTTCTGCCCATAGGCAAATCCTCTGAATACGGCAAGAGGAGTACACCGTGCTCTGATATGGTCACTAATGTAAACAAGAAAACAATTATATTGAATTAAATATTGCAAGGTGTTAACCCCCCCTATGATTTTCATTCTAATTTGAAGGGGGTTCAGAAGGACATTTTTGTCAAAATTGAGGAGGTGTAACTACAGCTATTGCCTACTATATAATAAAAAAGAATAAATTTATTATTTACATATGATATGGTTGCCAGTATCATATTACACCACATTTTCAAAATAGCTGGGCCCCAGCAGCTGTGGGCATAGCAGCCAAGCGAGGGTGTCCCTATGCAACCAGGTTGGGTATTGGGGCTGCTAGGGGCCCTTTGTGGTTTGTCTGGGGGCTGCTATGGGCCCTCTGGTGGTGGCTGTGGTAACAGCCACATAGCCAGAGGGTCCCTCAGCATCCAGGGAGGGCCTGGCGGCTGCTACTGACACTCTGGCAGGGGCTATGGGCACAGCCACCTAACCAGGGGGTCCCTACATAGCCAGGGTGGGGCTGGAAGCTGCTATAGGCCCTTTGGCGGGAGGTGTGGGGATACCCTGCTCGTCACAGGTACACAGTTTGCACCTATTTCTACATGTGTAGATCGTTTACATAATGGGCACATATTTGTACACATGTACATATTATCACAATAAACATATATGTACATAATATGTGCTAAATATGTACTTTATATGTACCTAATATAAACAATATGTACTTTTTGGTGATATTATGTGATATCTACATATTATTGATTATATATCTTATTGTGTTAATATGTATGTTACCACTGAAATTTTAAGAAATGTGCATAGAGTACACTTTATGTATCTATGCATTGTGTACACATTATAGAAATAAATAGGTACATATTTTACAGATTATGTACATTTTTTCTACATGTGTATTTTGTACACATATGTACAGCAGAGTAAATGTACAGATTGTACCTACTTTATACATTTATTGTGATATGCCAATAAATGTACACATTATGAATACATTCTGTGATATTACATTTAGAATATAAGATAGAAATTACTCTGGTTACCAAAGTGGGTGTAAATTTATGTGTGCACATACTTTGTACATGTACATACTGTGCACATTATGTACTTGTGTACAGAAGGTAAATATCTACATTATATGTACGTATGTGTACATAGCGTACATATGTACATACTATGTACATATATCTACACGTGCATTTATTGTACATCCGTACATAATGGGTCTATGCTGTACATGTAAACATGTCGTCATACCACAATAAATGTAAATGTACATAATGTGTGAAATATGTACATTTATATTATGTATTACATGTGTATTGTGATTGTATATGCTGTTCTGATATCATTGTGATATTACAAATGTACATATTGTACACATTATGTACATACCTATTGTGTACATATTATGTACACATAAATGTACATATTGTACAGATTATGTATACTTATTGTACATCTGTATGGTGTACACATATGTACATCACAGTCAACGTACATATGGTACATATTCTGTGCATTGTTTGTAATATTTCAGTAAGAGTACACATTATAAGTATATTCTGGGATATTATTTTTAGTATATTAGATAAAAATTACTTTCAATATCAAAGTGGGTATACACTTATGTGTGTCCATTTTGTGATACTATCCATCATATCCTGAGTAGGTATTTCTCTCATTGTGAAAGCAGGTTTACACTCTCGGATATCAAGGCAAACTAAAATTCGTCTGTGATGTAGTTAATAATATCCTGAGGACAAAGGATGACCATATCCTGAATATCGCAAGAAGTGTACACCACCACTGTAGTATTGTTTCTAATGTTCAAAAACGGAAAGGATATTACTCCAAATATCTCAGAAAGCACACAAGCCCCCCGTGATATTGTTTCTAATAACTAGAGAATTACAGATGACATTACCCACGACGTGACTGGGGCTGTACTCCGCTCCTGGAATATTGTTCCTAATATCCAGAGAAGGAGAGGAAAATGTTGCTGCCCATAGGGAAATACTCTTAATACGGCAAGAGGTGTACACCATGCTTTGATATGGTCACTAATGTAAGCAAGAAAACAATTATATTGAATCAAGCATTGCAAGGAATTAATCTCCCCTATGATTTTAATTCTAATGTCAATGGGGGTGAGGATGACATTTTTGTCAATATGGCAGAGGTGTCACTGGAGCTATTACCTAATATACAAAAAAACAGAATAAGATTATCATTTTTATATAATATGGTTGCCAGTATCATATTACACCTGATTTGTAAAATAGCTGGGCCTCAGCAGCTGTGGGCAGAGCCCACAAGCGAGGGGACCCCTAAGCAGCCAGGGTGGGCCTGGGGGCTGCTCTGGGCTTTTTGGTGGGGTCTGTGAGCGCACCGACCCAGTCAGGGGTCCCCGAGCAGCCATGGTTGGCCTGGGGGCTGCTACAGGCACTCTGGCATGGGCTGTGGGCACAGACACCTAGTCAGGGGGTCCCTAAGAAGCCAGGGTGGGCATGGAGGTTGCTACAGGCGTTCGAGCAGTGTTTGTGGGCACAGCCCAATTGCCACGGGGTCTTTAAGCAGCCAGGCTGGGCCTGGGGGCTGCTACAAGGGGGGCTTTGGTAATAGCGTGCTGTGCATCGGTACATAGTTTGCACCTATTACTACATGTGTAAATAGTTTTAATATCGGGCATATATATGTACATGCGTACATATGGTGTTATCACGATAAATTTATATTTACATAATATGTGCAAAATACATATGTACCTAATGCATACCTAATGTGTACAATATGTACTTTTTTGTAATATTAGACAATATATATTACTGTGATTATATATCTTATTGTGACTAAATATATTTTATCACTAATATTTTAAGGAATGTGCATAGTGTACACATTATATACCTATGTATTGTGTACACAATATAGAAATATATAGGTACATATTTTACAGATTATGTACACTTTTTCTACATGTGTATTGTGTACACCTATGCACAGCAGAGTAAATGTACAGACTGTACCTATTTTATACACTTCTTGTGATATGCCAATAAATGTACACATTATGAGTACATTCTAAAATATAATTTTTACCATATTAGAAATTACTCCATTGACCAAAGTGGGTGTACACCCAGGTGTGTACATAGTTTATACGTGTACATATTGTGCATATTAGGTACTCATGTACAAAATGTACATGTGAACATTATATGTATTTATGTGTACATAGTGTACAAATGTACATACTGTGCACACATATGTACATGTGTATATTTTGTACATGTGTACATAATGGGTACGTGATGTGCATGTGTACACACCGTGATACCGCAATAAATGTAAATGTACACGATGTGTGTAACATGTACATTTATATTATGTGTTACTTGTGTGTTGTGATTTTATATGCTGTTGTGATTATATGATATCATTGTAATATTACAATAAATAGATATTGCACACATTTCGTACATACCTATTGTGTACACATTATGTACCTGTAATTGCACATATTGTACAGATTATGTACATTTTTGGTACATCTGTATTGTGTACACATATGTACATAACACTCTATGTACATATGGTATGTATTCTGCACATTGATTGTAACATCTCAATAAGTGTACACATTATGAGTATATTGTGATATATGATTTTTAGTATATTAGATAAAAATTTCTTTCTATATCAAAGTGGGTATACACCCATGTGTGTCCATTTTTTGATATTATCCATCATATTTTAAGTAGGTATTACTCTCATTTTGAAAGCAAGTGTTCACTCTGTGATTGTTCCAATATCACAGGCAAAGTACAAGGCTTCTTTAATGTACTACCTAATATCCTGGGGACAAAAGATTATTATACCCTGAATATCGCAGGAAGTGTACACCACTACTGTAGTATCGTGTCTAATATCCAAAAACGGTAAAGATATTACTCTAAGTATCTGATAAAGCACACAAGACCCCCGTGATAATTTTTCTAATAACTAAGGGATTACAGATGACATTACTCACGATATGACTGGGGCTGTCCGCCGGTCCTGTGATATTGTTCCTAATATCCAGAGAACGAGAGAATAATGTTGCTGCCCATAGGCAAATCCTCTGAATACGGCAAGAGGAGTACACTGTGCTCTGATATGGTCACTAATGTAAACAAGAAAACAATTATATTGAATTTAACATTGCAAAGGGTGAAACCCGCTTATGATTTCAATTCTAATGTCCAGGGGTGTGAGGATGACATTTTTGTCAATATGGCAGAGGTGTAACTAGAACTATTGCCTAGTATATCAAGAACCAGAATAACATCATTTCCATATGATATGGTCGCCAGCATCATATTACACCACATTTTCAAAATAGCCGGGCACAGCGCCCTAGCCGGGGGGTCCCTAAGCAGCCAGCGTCAGCCTGGGAGCTGTTACAGGCCCTCTGGCGGGGAATGTGGTTACAGCTCCCTAGCCAGGCGTCTTTAAGCAGCCAGGGTGGGCCTTGGGGCTGCTACGAGGGGGGCTGTGGTAATAGCCTGTTCTGCACAGGTACATAGTTTTAATAATGAACACATATTTGTATAAGTGTACACATGGTGTTATGATAAATATATATGTACATATGTGCACAATACATATAGACCTTATGCGTACCTACTGTGTACAATATGTACTTTTTTGTGATATTACATGATATATATATATTACTGTGATTATATGCATTATTTTGACTATATATATTTTATCACTGATATTTTAAGGAATGTGCATAGTGTACACATTATGTACCTATACATTGTTTACACATTATAGAAATATGTAGGTACATATTTTACAGAGTATGTACATTTTTTGTACATGTGCATTGTGTACACATATGTACAGCAGGGTAAATGTACAGATTGTACCTATTTTATACATTTATTGCAATATGCCAATAAATGTACACACTATTACTACATTCTGAATTATTATATTTTGTATATTAGATAGAAATTTCTCCTGTTACCAAAGTGGTTGTACACCCAGGTGTGTACATAGTTTATATGCGTACATATTGTGCATAGAATGTACTCAGGTACAGAAGGTACATATCTACATTATATGTACACATGTGTAGTGTACATATGTACATAATGTACCCACACATGTACACTTCCATATATTGTGCATCTGTACATAATGGGTACATGATGTACATGTTTACATATCATATCACAATAAATGTAAATGTACATCATGTTTGCAATATGTACATTTATATTGATATTACATATTACATGTGTATTGTGATTTTATATGCAGTTGTGATTATATAACATTATGATATTACAATAAATGTACATATTGTACACATTATGTGCATACCTATTGTGTGCACATTTTGTACATATATTCGTACAAATGATAGTTTATGTACATTTATTGTACATCTGTATTGTGTACATTTATGTACATCACAGTCAATGTACATATGTTACATATTCTGTACATTGAGTGTAATATCGCAATAAGTCTACACATTATGAGTTTTTTCTGGGTTATGACTTTTAGTATATTAGATAAAAATGACTTCCAATATCACAGTGGGTATATACCCATGTGTGTCCATTTTGTGATATTATCCATCATATCCTAAGTAGATATTTCTCTCACAATGAAAGAAGGTGTACACTCTGTGATTGTTCCAATATTATAGGCAAAGTGCAATGCTTCTGTGATGTAGTTCCTACTATCCCAGGGACAGAGGATGAGTATACTCTTAATATCACAGGAAGTGTACACCACCACTGTAGTATTGTTTCTAATATCTATAAACTGCAAGGATATTACTCCAAATATCTCCAAAAGCACACAAGACCCCCGTTACATTGTTCTTAATAACTAGGGGATTACAGATGACATTGCTCACGATGGGACTGGCGCTGTAAGCCGGTCCTGTGATATTCTTCCTAATATCCAGATAAGGAGAGAAAAATGTTGTTGCCCATAGAGAAATATTCTGAATACTGCAAGAGATGTACACCATGCTCTGATATGGTCACTAATGTAAACAAGAAAACAATTATATTGAATTAAACATTGCAAGGGGTGAAACCCTCCTATGCTTTCAATTCTAATGTCATTGTGGTGAGGATGACATTTTTGTCAATATGCCAAATGTGAAACTAGAACTATTGCCTAATAGGTAAAGAACCACAATAACATTATCATTTCTGTGTGATAGGTTGCCAGTATCATATTACACCACATTTTCAAAATAGCCGGGCCCCAGCAGCTGTGGGCACAGCGCCCTAGGCAGGGGGTCCCTAAGCAGCCAGCGTGGGCCTGGTAGCTGTTATGGGCTCTCTGGTGGGGGCTGTGGGTACAGCCCCCTAGCCGGGGGTCTTTAAGCAGCCAGGGTGGGCATTGAGGCTGCTACGAGCAGAACTTTAGTAATAGCCTGCTGTGCATAGGTATGTAGTTTGCACCTATTTCTGCATGTGTATATTGTTTAAATAATAGGCACATATTTGTATACGTGTACATATGGTGTTATCATGATACATATATATTTTCATAATATGTGCACTATACATATGTACCTAATACATACCTAATGTGTACAATACGTACTTTTTGGTGATATTACACGACATATATGTATTAGTGTGATTATATATCTTACTGTGACTATATATATTTTATAACTGATATTTTAAGGAATGTGCATAGTGTACACATTATGTACCTATGCATTGTGTACACATTATAGAAATATATAGGTACATATTTTACAGATTATGTACATTTTTTGTACATGTGCATTGTGTACACCTATGTACAGCAGAGTACATGTACAGATTGTGCCTATTTAATACATTTATCACAATACGACAATAAATGTACACACTATGACTACATTCTGGGATTTTATATTTAGTATATTAGATAGAAAACTCTCCGGTTACCAAAGTGGGTATACACCTATATCTGTGCCTAGTATATACGTGTACATATTGTACATACTGTGTACTCCTGTAAAGAAGGTACATATCTACATTATATGAACATGTGTAGTGTACATATGTACATACTGTGCACACTTATGTACATGTGTATATACCGCAAATCTGCGCGTGTGCATGATGTACATGTGTACATATCGTAATATCACAATAAATATAAATGTATATGTGTGCAATATGTACATTTATATTGATATTATGTATTATATGTGTATTGTGATTATATATGCTGTGATTATATGAAATCATTGTAATATTACAATATATTTACATATTGTACACATTATGTACATACCTACTGTGTACACATTATGTACATGTAAATGTACATATTGTACAGATTATGTACATTTTTTGTACATCTGTATTGTGTACACATATGTACATCACAGTCAATGTACATATGGTACATATTTTGTACGTGGATTGTAATATCCCAATAAGTGTACACATTATGAGTATATTCTGGGATATGATTTATAGTATATAAGAAAAAAGTTACTTCCAATATCAATGTGGGTATACTCGCATGTGTGTCCATTTTGCTGTACCTTCTATTAATCTTTGCCATTGAACATGATAGTGAGAGGTGGTTCTTTTCTCTAACAAGGTTTTCTGTTAATATAACTAAACTCTACTACCTTGTGGCCTCTGTATCTTCCATTGTAAATTGTAATTACCTATAAAAGAGAATATTTTGACATCACGTATCTACCTCTTGGATCCATCAGCCAGAGGCCTATAATAAAAAAGACATTCACCCCACGAATGGTTATATAGTGGTTGACAACCCCACTTTCTTCTAGGTAAATAATATCCTCTCTTTAACAGTAGCTACTTACAAGATTTGTGCATAAAGAATGTGACTTTTTTTATCAGTATCTAGTTTATTCTTACATAAATTTCTAAAATACTGAGAATATTCTGATCATTGGTTATGTACTATTTTAATTTAACTTTTTCCTCTCAAATTTTATCTTAACTGCATACTCTACCCTGTTTATAAGACTGCCCTATGGTTAAATTTAGTAGGTAGTAATTTATCCTGAGCACACAGAACAATTCTTTTTGTAATGAACTCTGAAACATCATTGAAAGAGCAAGGATATGGGAATGAGATTTATCTGGCTTTTCTTTCTGGTACTTACTTGCTCTCTGACCTTGGGCAACTTATGTATTGCTCTGAGTCTCATCTTCTTCATCTGTAAAATGATCATAGTAATACCTAATTCATATGCAGCTTGGAAATGTGTAATTTAGTGATTGATATAAAGTTCCTGATACAATTTCTGACAAAATAATAGACACCCCGCGAGAGATAACCATAACAATCAGAGTTTATATTCACATTAACTGGGATAAAATTGATCTAAACATACAGCATAAAAAAGCAGCCAAAAATTCACAAGCATATATTTCGCTTGCCTTTTTATACAGAGCTGGAAAATTTCTCACCATTATCTCATCCATTGCCTGCAGCACGATCCTTCCAAAACTCCTCCTAAGACCGTCTGCCAAGGTGGAACACACTGAACCGCATGTGACTCTGCCTTTTCTGACTATTTTTGCAAGATTTTTCTCATAGAGTATTATTAACAGAAAATGGGGCTGTTATCAAGGTGACTAGGAATGGTGCATTCTCAGTTCAGGCTCTGATGGAATGTCTACTTGATCTGGTGCAACTCCAGCTGTGCTCTTGGCTTTCCTCACTTTTGTGGTTCCGAGAATGCAAATATTCTCCCATGGCTTCCTTATTTTGTCTTTCTCCATGAGGTCTCATTCAAGTATAAACATTCCCTTCAATTTTCTCAACTCATTTTATATTGTCTGAATAACCTTGATAATTTTCCCTTTCCTAAAGCTATAGACCTTCTTTTCGTGTGTAAGAACAGATTACTCACAAATATTTACTGTCCGCTAAACATTTATGTGTAATCGGTCCTTAATTCTACACACAAAATATCATCTCTACCAATATTTTACAACTATAGTCTTTCTATAGAGAACTATGAAAGGAACTTGCTCTAAAGGAGAAACTTCCAGAGCTAAACCAAGGGTCTGACAATTGTTAACAATATGTTATTCAGTAAAAATATTTTTTCAGTTAACAGAGAAGAATGCCATGGACAAAATGGCAAAACAGAACTTTTCAGCACTTATTTCTTCACAGAAACATCAATTTGAACAGCCATCCGTGCATCAAAGTGTCTTCAAAAGAGACAAGGAATCCAGGTGAGAGGTTATAGCACGTTTGTGGAGAGAAAAGTAAGAAAAACTGCATAAAATAGAGTATAAAAGAGAGTTTTCTATTATCTGCATTACCTTGCCCCTAAACCTGGGTAGTGCAGCATGGAAAGAGATACCATGTATGTGCAGAGAGGAGAGTAAATGTAACACCTGACTTCAACATCAACTCCAATGCCAGGCACAATTCAGTGAACTCAACACCAGGCAGGTTTCTATAGCCACAGGCTATGGGACAGACCCTGTCAACCCAAGCTCCAGGCCTTCCCCTATGGCTCTAAGATCTAATGCCTCCAACCTCCCATGGCTCCTATCGACATAGGCTCCAGGCCTTCGCCACAACCATGCCATTTATGGCTTCCCCAGGCTCCACACTGGATACTATAGACTCGTAAGTGCCTGGATAAACAAACCTCTACATCAACACAGTGGAATATTATTCAGCAATGAAAGCAATAATCTTTGAATGTGGCTTTTGTTGCAGAAAAAAAGCACGTGAGCTATGAAGCCATTAAAAGACATAGAGGAAACTCAAATACATACTACTAAGTGAAAGAAACCAATCTCAAATGACCACTGACTATATGAATCCAACTATATGACATTCTGGAAAAGGCAAAACTATAGAGACATCAAAACGTTCAGTGATTGCTGGGGGTTGAAAAGTAAGGAAGAATAAATGGGCAGAGCATAGTGGATGTTTAGGGCAATGAAACTACTCTGTGTGTTACTATAATGGTAGACACATGCCATTACACCCTTGTCAAAACTCACTGAATATACGACGGCAAGAATGGTCCCTAATGTCAATTATAAACTATGGGTGACAGTGATAAGTCAATGTTGGTTCATCCATTGTAACAAATGTACCTCTCTAGTGAGGAAGGCTGATAGTGGAGGAGGCTGTGCATTTGGGGAGGTGGGAATGTAGGAACTCTCTGTACTTTCCAGTATGCCTCACTGTTAACTTTACACTGCTCTAAAAATAAAGCGTATTTTAAAAAAGATTGAGCTGTTGATATAAGCCCAATGTCTACTTTGACGTCCAGAAATGTTTCTTTTAAAACGCTAATACACCACTTCCTGGAAGAAAATATTTGTTAACAAATTCTTTTCTAGAACAATTATTTTTGTGGGTGTTCCTGTCACAACTATACATAAAAATCAGAATATGCAGCAACATCTTGATACACTAAAAACACAATACCAAAAACGTTAAGAAAATCATTTCTAAATTTGATCTAAGCCAAAATGTGGAGAAGCAAAAGGGAAGAAAATTATTTCTGTATAATGAGATTATAGGTTGTTTCTCCGAACTCCTCTACAGTTTTCAGTATTTTCCAACTTCTATCATGGAGATATATAAATATAGAAGTAGATATGTAGATATATAGTCATTAGATATATATTTATATATAATAAATAAACAAATACCATTTTTATTATTTATTTATTTATTTATTTTTTGAGACGGAGTTTCGCTCTTGTTTCCCAGGATGGAGCGCAATGGCGCGATCTTGGCTCACCGCAACCTCCACCTCCTGGGTTCAGGCAATTCTCCTGCCTCAGCCTCCTGAGTAGCTGGGATTACAGGCACGCGCCACCAAGCCCAGCTAATTTTTTGTATTTTTAGTAGAGACGGGGTTTCACCATGTTGACCAAGATGGTCTCGATCTCTTGACCTCGTGATCCACCCGCCTTGGCCTCCCAAAGTGCTGGGATTACAGGCTTGAGCCACCGCGCCCGGCCTACAGATACCATTTTTAAAAGATATATTTATGTATTTTATATATTTATATAATATATACATGTTCATATATACATCATGTTATCACCATTATGGATATAAAAAAGGACATTAAAATAGTGAAAAGATTAAAATAAAATGTACCAAAATGGAAACAGTGATTTAACTCTGCCTAGCTTTATGTGATTAAACAAGGTATTTTTCAAATCTATTTTTCTTTGCTTTCTAGAGGCTTTATAATAAATCTATATTTTTGTATTTAAAAGCCTAATTTTTATTAAACAAATAAAAATTCAGCAACACTGTGTTTAGAACATTTTTTAAATCAACTTGAGCATGAAGAAAATGTTATGACTATGGTGGTGAGCATTTTGAAAGATTAGCAGAAGCAGGGATAATGTGACATTTAGCTGATCTTTCAAGGGAAGCTAGACAAATGACACTTTTCGAAAAGAAAATAGTCACTAGTGTTGAAACATGGTATTGCCAGTATGATTAAGAAGGAAAGTGTCAACTTCTTCTGTGGAAAATCCTAACATTACCAAACGTAAGAAGGCAGATACTTCAACAACAGAAATGAAAAATATCTTGATTAATTTATTTAACACTTTTTTAGAGTTTAATCCCAAAAAGTCTATTTTGAAGAAAAAAAAAATCTTACTCGTGTATATTACCCTTTGCAGTGAACTGGCCAAATAAGTCTATCCAAGGTACGTTGAATACCGAGCATGCTGGAAACATTTTTATTGACATCATCTCTAATCCCTACAACAATAGTGCAAGGGAAGGTTTAACATCTTCTTTTTACAGAGAGGAAAGCTGAGGCTCAAAGAGGTATAGTAGCTCATTTAACATTACACATCTAATACGTGGTGGAGGTGGGACCTATACTTACATCTGTCAGACCTTAAAGTCTGTGTTCTTCTTTCTACCTCTCTGCCTCAGTCCAACAATTGGGATCTTTGCCATGATGCCTCACGAGTTCACGAGGCACTTTTCAGGAAGTTTTTGACTCAGACTTTATCACTCAGCAAGATACCTCAACTAATTTACAAAATGTGACTTGAAAAGCAGGTTGTAATTCCAAAAGCAAATATCCAACCACAAAAGATAAAGTCTTAATCAGTAGAGCTTTACAGAAGGAAGTAATGTAGGTAGTAAGGGCACTTTCGGAAATGTCTGGAATCAGAGGAGTCGATGTATCACCTTTTAGAAATTGTACTCGCTTGGTAGCAAAATTTTCCTTGTGTTCACTTCAAATAATAGTCTTGTTTTAAAACCAACGCACAGTCAGAGGGTGACTTGGATGTTTATTTTTTATTCTCTTTGCCTTCTTGTTTTAAGAATGGATTTTTCCTAAATTCTAATTATTATTGTAACTTACATAAGTGCAGCCGATTTTGCTTTTAAGGATAAAACTACATTTAAGTAGCTTTGTCTGGATTATCAAAACCAGGCCCTGAAGAAGTGAGTTCCTAAAGGGTAGGAACTTTGCTTATGTCTATATCTCAGTTGTGTTAAACAGAATAACTGGCGCAAATTAGCAAATGATGCACTGAGGAATCATAGAACAAAAGACTTTATGAAGAACTAAGTTTCAGATTCAGGGTGACGCTAAGGAGCTAGTGTACCAGAGGATGGTATGCCTTCTGCAATCACAAAAGCAGCATTCAGTCTGATCTGGGCTCTAAGAAGTGCTCCTTGAGACCTGAAATTTTATCCTAACACTGCCACTAACAGGTTAAGTCAGAAAGAGTTCACTTCCCAGAGCTTTCGATTTCTGGTTTCCAAATCAGCACAATGAGAAACTGAAAAGAAGGAAAGAGGAAAAAAAGAGAGGGTCAGAGATCCCTCCTGTTTGTACAATGCCATGATTTGGACACAGGGTTTGGGCAACCATGGCCCATCCACCAATTCCTGCCTGTCGTCTCTTGTCAGACAGCTCATGAGCCACGAATTTGAAAGAATTCAAAAAAGTAACAATATTTTGGGACATGTCAACAATTATATAAAATGCAATTTTCAGTTCTCATAAAAGTACTTTGGAACTCAGCCCCACTCCTTTATTACCCATTTCTATGGCTGCTTTCATGCCACAACCACAGAGATTAGTAGCTGTGACAGAGACCATATGGGCTGCCAAGCCTAAAATATTTACTGCCTAGACCTTTCCAGAAAAAAAAAAAAGGATTGCTGATCTTTTACACAGACAATCAAGCAAGCGATCACCTGATAACATTAAAATCTGTGTCTAGGACAAATGGGGCCTATATAAACTAGGGAATAATCTTCCCCACTACTTATGCAAGAACATTCACCCTTAAGAGAGCAGGCTACATGGCTTGGCAGCACTACTGCCACCAGTCCAGACTTCCCCTCACCTGTGCCCTATAAGTGACCAGCATTTCTAGGCATCCATGGAGCAGCGGGGTGCATTCTCATGGCTGGTCCCACACCTTCCCTTCCTCCTGCTTCCTCACATTCTATTTTCTGAGTGGTTGTCAAAGGAACGCTGAATTTTGCTGTCACTTTTTCAGACCCCAATTTCACTTATGACAGTCTTGGTACCAGGAAGCATTCCAAGCTCCTATCTCATCACCACAACCGACTGCTTCTCACTTAGTCCAGACGAGCTTGCCACAGTCCACTTGCTTTTTAATTGCTCTCTCTCTTCTTGCCTTCACCTCCTCTCCCTCCCTCTCTCCCTGGCTCTTTCTGTCACACGGGTGTGTGCACATACACAAGTTCCGATTAGATAAAAGAAGAAACACTTTTTAAGTTTCTTTCTAGGCCTAATAGAAAATTCTTTTTTTTTTTTTTTTTTTTTTACAAAAACAGAGCTGTTTTTTTCCATTGCAAAAGTGTGGGTGTCCTTCCTTTTGGAGAGTAACAATCATTTTCTACATGGCCTTCTGACACATTGCATGTTGTACATATGTGTGTGTGCACATGTGCATATGAGTGTCAGAGTATGTGTGTGTAGCAGGGAGGAAAGAGATGAAGGAGAGTGTGTGTGTGCATGTTGGTTCATATGAGTGTGAGTGTGTGCATGCACGTGCCTGTGTGTGTGCACATGTGTATGAGCATGCTTGTATTTGCATATGAGAATGTGCATGTGAGAGAGAAAGAAAGAATGCGTGTATGTGTGAATGTGTATGTGTGTGTATAGCAGGGAAGAAGGGGATGAAGGAGAGTATGCTAAAAAGAGAACACCTCAGAACAGTCCAATAAAAGATTCCATATCAACATCATATCTTGTTAAAATACAGGATTCCCAAGTCAGTCACCTTCAAGCTGGAAGCCTGGAGTGTAAAAAGAGTGGGTGTTCTTCTCTGACAACTTATTGTCTAAGACAATTTTATGATCCAAAATATATTCGAATAAAAGTACCTGAGAAAAGTACATAAAGAGAATATAGCAAAATGTTAACAATGGTTTTCTTTGTGTGAGAGGAAGAAGAACCAGGTTGTGGTTGATCTGTTTCTTTTAGTTCAAATATTCTGCATTCCTCACTTTTAAATTTTGGATATTAAGCTGGAGATAAAGAACATAAATATAAAGATGAATTCGCTGAATGGAGCAACGAATGCTGAGTTAGTCAAAAATGTATGGCTACCTTCTATATCTAATTATCTGAGGGCAAATCAGAAAACACCACTTTCAGAAATTTTTTTTTTTTTTCAGAAATGAAGTTTCGCTCTTGTTGCCCAAGCTGGAGTGCAATGGCACAATCTCGGCTCACCGAAGCCTCCGCCTTTTGGGTTCAGGCAATTCTCCTTCCTCAGCCTCCCGAGTAGCTGGGATTACAGGCACGCACCACCATGCCCAGCTAATTTTTTGTATTTTTAGCAGAGACAGGGTTTCACAATGTTGACCAGGACGGTCTCGATCTCTTGATCTTGTGATCCACCTACCTCGGCCTCCCAAAGTGCTGGGATTACAGGCTTGAGCCACCGTGCCCAGCCAGAAATTTTTAAAAATGTGTTTTACGTTATTTTCCCTTTCAGCCTAAGGACTAAAAATTGAACACAACTGGATCTGCGCCATTGCCTCAAAGATTCTTAGCCTAGTTCAAGACCCATTGTCTGGACACTCCTGCTTTTTAGACAGAAAACAGGGCTAAATTCCTATTGACTTCCAAATACACAGACCCACAGATTTGTCACAGTAGCCTCTCTCTCTCACCCTGTCTCTGTCCGTCTGAGTCTCTCTTTCTCTCTCCCTTCCCTCACATCATCCCCAAATCAGAATGCATATATAAAAATTTGATTAACTCAAACATAGAATGATCAAGATTTTACTACAAGAGAAATACACAGACTTCAGCTAAGATGTCTGGTTGAATACCTGCATATGCCTTCACTCCATCATTAAACCACATTAACATAAGATGATTAAAAATAAATAAACCAACAAAGATAAAAAGAAAATAAACACAATCCCTTCAGCATATAGAAAACTGGCAAGCAGAAGCTGTCAGTGACACCTGACAGTAGACCCAGAGATGCTAAATCCCAAGCCAGTGGCAGGAAGGCAACCAGGATCCCCAAGGGTTCAAGAGTTGGCAGCTAAATTTACCTAGGGAATTTATGTTTCAGTAGTAAGTAGATCCCAGATCCTCTCCCTAGAATCGGTGACTGCATCCCATGGTGGTGGCAGGGTGGAAGTTTCCTCTCTATAGGGTAAAATTTGGTGTCTCTAGGCAGGAGCTCTCTAGACACAAGTGCTTAAATGTACACACTGAACACTGAGATCCTCCAGGTTTTCCTACCACTGAGTTCCAATGAGGGTGGCAGATACACTTGGTCAGAAGTTAAGATGATTTTTCTCTAGAGAGAATCTCTTTTGCTCAAGAAGAAAAGGTCTGACCCAGCAAGACCACCGCCCACAAAATGTTACAATCACAGAACTTCCATCAGCTTTTAGCTTTTCAGTGCTCCATTTTTTTCTAACAGACACAGACAGCTAAGGGTCACCAGGCATCTGAGCAAAGCTTCTAACATGAATGGCCGAGACCAGAGCAACAAGACACATAAACGCAGCCTGAATGAGGACTGTGCTGGGAGATAAGACCTTCTGAAACCCATATGAATGTTCTCGAAGAGATAAAAGTGTTACCATTTTCATGAAACAAGAACCAAATTTAAAGAAAAAGTAAACGCTTAGAAATTAAAAATATGACAGCAGAACTTGTGAAAAATTCTTGTTAGAATAGTAAGAAAACAAAGTTGAGTAGATAAACCTTATGTCTTCCAGAAATAGCGATAAGAAAAAAGTTGAAATCCGGAAGAAAATTTGAACAGGTTCAACACTAAAATGATCAGAATTCCAAAGATAGAAATAGAGACAGACAGACAGAGAGAGAAAAAAGAACAGACACACGCAGCAAATAAGAAAGAGAGAGATAAACCCTAACACAGTAATTGCTGGAGACTACAACACCCAACTTTCAGCACTGGACAGATCTTCCAGACAGAAAACCAACCAATCAACATGAAATTTAATCTTTACTACAGACCAAATGGAACTGATATTCAAGGAACATTTCATCCAATGACTGCAGAATACACATTTTTTCAACTCAACACATAGATCATTCATAAGTATAGAAGATACCTTAGGTCACAAAGCAAATGCAATCACATTTGAAATCAGGATTAAGAAATTCATTCAAAACCATACACTTACATGGAAACTGAGTAACTTGCTCCTGAATGACTCCTGGGTAAATAATGACATTAAGGCAGAAATCAAGAAGTTTAAGAAGTTCTTTGAAAGTAATGAGAACAAAGGTACAACTTACCAGAGTTTCTGGGATGCAGGTAGTCATGTAGTGTTGAGAGAAATTTATAGTACTAAATGCTCACATCAAGAAGTGAGAACTCGGGACAGCTGCGGTGACTCACTCTTGTAATCTCAGCACTTTTGGAGGCCAAGGTGGGCAGATTACAAGGTCAGGAGTTTGAGACCAGCCTGACCAACATGGTGAAACCCCATTCTACTCAAAATACAAAAATTAGCTGGTGTTGTGGCACATACCTGTAATCCCAGGTACTCAGGAGGCTGAGGCAGGAGAACTGCTTGAACCCAGGAGATAAATGTTGCAGTGAGCCCATATCACACCACTGCACTCCAGCCTGGTTGAGAGAACAACACTCCATCTCAAAAACAAAATTGAGATCTCAAGTTAACTACCCAACATCACAATTAAAAGAATTAGAAATCCAAGAGCAAAGAACACCCTCAAAGCTATGCTGAATGGGAGTGGGGAGAGAGGGCAACTTTATCTTGTGCCAATTTTTAAGGGGAATGCTTTAAGCTTTTGTCCATTCAGTATGATGCTGGCTGTGGTTTTGTCACATGTGGCTCTTATTATTTTGAGGTATGTTCCTTCAATACCTGGTTTATTGAGAGTTTTTAACACACATGAAAGTTGAATTTTATCAAAAGCTGTTTTTGCATCCATTGAGATAATCACGTGGGTAATTTTTTTCTTTAGTTCTGTTTATGTGACGATGACATTTATCAATTTGCATATGTTAAACCAAACCTGCATCTCAGGGAGGGTGGTTGTGACCAGGAATTTATCAGTTTCTTCTAGATTTCTCAATTTTTTCAGGTTCAGTGGCTCACATCTGCAATCCCAAAACTTTGGGAGGTCAAGGTGGGTTGATCACCTGAGATTGGGAGTTCAAGACCAGCTGGATCAACATGGAGAAACCCCATGTCTACTAAAAATACAAAATTAACCAGACATGGTGGCACATGCATGTAATCCTAGCTACTCAGGAAGCTGAGGCAGGAGAATAGCTTGAACTCAGGAGACAGAGGTTTCACTAAGCCGAGATCTCACCATTGTCCTCCAGCCTGAGCAACAAGCACAAAACTTCATCTCAAAATTAAAGAAAAAAAGTGCCTACAGTTGTACATCATATACTCTGAGGGTGGTTTGTATTTCTGTGGGGTCAGTGGTAATATTGCCCTTATTGTTTTTGATGGTGGTTATTTGAATCTCTTCCCTTTCTCCTTCATTGGTCTAGCTTCAAGTTTATTATTTTTTAACCAGTATGATTTTAATAGACCAGTTACTGGGTAGTAAATTGAAACATACAGAGTGCCATCTCCAAGAGCAGTCATGATTTCATTTGGGTTCTTGAAAAATGTTAAGAAGTAGGTTGAGTTTTATTATTTTTTTCAGAAAACCAGCTTTTGAAAAATTTATGTGGAACCAAAAACAGCCAAGGCAATCCTAAGCAAGAAGAGCAAAGCTGGAAGCGACATGCTACCAGACTTCAAACTGCATTACAGAACTACAGGAAACAACGGCATAGTACTGGTACAAAAACAAACACATAGACTAATGGAACAGAATAGAGAATCCAGAAACAAAACCAAGCTTCTACAACTATCTGATCTTTGGCAAACTTAACAAAAACAAGCAAGGGGGAAAATATTCTCCCTATTCAATAAACGATGCCAGGATAACTGGATAGCCATATGCAAAAGACTGAAACTAGACCCCTTCTTTACATTACATACAAAAATTTGCTCAAGATAGATTAAACACTGATATGTAAAACCAAAAACTATAAAAGCTCTGCAAGACACGAGACAATGCCATTCAAAACATAAGCACAGGCAAAGATTTCATCATGAACATGCCAAAAGAAAAGGTAACAAAAGCAAAATTGAAAACTGGTGTCAAATTAAAATGAGAAACTTTCACACAGCAAAATAAACTATCAACAGAGAAAACTGACAACCTACAGAATGTGAGAAAATGTTTGTAAACTATGCATTCCACAAAAATCTAATATCAAACATCGGTAGGGAAATTAAATTTACAAGAGGAAAACAACCCATAAAAAGGTGGGCAAAGAACATAAACAGACACTTTTAAAACAAGACATATATGCAACAAGCAATCATATTAAAAAAGCTCAACGTCACTGATTATTAGAGAAATGCAAATGAAAATTGTAATAAGATACCATCTCACACCAGTCATAATGGCAATTATTAAAGCAAAAAAAAAAAACCACATACTGGCAAGGTTAGAGAGAAAAACAACAGTTACACACTGTATTCGGGAATGCAAATTAGTTCTGCCATTGTGAAAAAGTGTCATGATTCCTCAAAGACCTAAAGAGTGAAATACCATTTGATTCAGCAAACCTAGTAATGGGTTACTAGGTATGTACCCAAGGGAATATAAATCCTTCTGTTATAGAGACATGTGCACACATATGTCCATGGCAGCACTGTTCACAATAGCAAAAATATGGAATCAAGCTAAATGCCCATCAATGGTAGACTGGATAAAGAAAATGTGGTACATATACAACAAAAAACACTAGGCAGCCACAAAAGAATGCGATCGTGTTCTCTTCAGGGACATAGATGAAGCTGGAGACTATTATTCTTAGCAAACTAATGCAGGAACACAAAATCCAAATACCAGATATTTTCACTTGCAAGTGGGAGCTAAATGATGAGAACACAGGAACATACAACAGGCGGAAGAACAACACACACTAGAGCCTTTCAGAGAGTGGAGAATGAGAGAAGGAAGAAGATCAGGAAAAACAACTAAATGGGACTAGGCTTAATACCGGAGTAATGAAATGATCTGTACAACAAACCTCATGACAGACTTTACCTAAATAACAACCCTGTGCTTGAACCTTTGAACTTAAATAAAAGTTAAAAAAAAAGGCAACTTCTCAAGTTGAATAACATAACCTCCTAGGTTTAAACACATGAACACAAACTCACACCAAGGAACATTGTCTTGAAAATCTGCAATATATGACAAAGGAAAACAGCTCTCCTAAGTTTTCAGAAAAGTTTTTTAAAAAACAGTATTTACAAAGAATCAAAAATCAGAATGATTTCAGGCTTCTCAACAGCACTACCAGAAGCTGGGAAATAACGGAGTGGTATCTTTAAAACTTGAATAGGAAATTATTTTCAATCAAAAGTTCTATGCCCCACAAGTCATGTAAGTGTAAGAAGAAATAAAGTCATATTTCCAGAACAATTTGCTTCAGTGTATCCTTGCTTGAATAAGTTACTGGAGGATACAGTCCACAAACAAGAGATTCAGGGCACGGGGCAGTGCAAAACAACAGAGTGGGTTTGTATTTGTATTCAAAAGACAGCAGCAGTCGAGAGTTAGGGAATACTGGAGGAGGAGTTTTCTCCAGCATCCCTGGAGCCCACACCTCTCATTTCCACATTCCTATGTCCCATTGCTGCCCATGAATTCTGATCACCTATTCCTTTGATAGAGGTATTTCTCTCACCGATTAGCTGTAGTCAAGTGGCTCTTTCTTGGGCTACAGGAGGAAATCTATTGCTTTTCATTAAACATCAATTGGATTAACCTAGGCTTAAGGTCAGCATTATGCCATCAGCTGTACGTTCTTGGGAAGACGTCTACTCACAAAATGGTTAAAGAACGTGGCCCTCCTACCTCTGACTTGTGTGATTCTAAGCAAGCTATTTAGCACCCTCTCATCTGTGAAACAAACATAAAGTTCTTATCTTGGGCTCCACAAACAGAAACTGTTGAACAAGAACAGTTTCTTCTCCTCCAAGGCCAGACCATATGGAGGACCCTAAGACAGCCACAGTCTTGGTCAGTAGGACAAACACACAACGTTCAAATAACACCATTAAAACTGTGGCCAAACGTTTGCTCTGCCTCTGAGTCACTCACTGTCATAAGGCTCTACCAGTTCCCATTCCAGATAGAAAGTGGGCTTTTGTTGGTTTTTGTTGTGTTTTTCAAGAGATGGAGTCACCCAGGCTGGAGTACAGTGGCATGACCATAGCTCACTGCAGCCCCAAACTCCTGAGCTCAAGTGACCTTTCTGCCATGGCCTCCTGACAGAAGCTGGGCCAACAGAGCAGCAGGTATGCATCCCCACACCCAGTAATTTTTTTTTGAGAGATGGGGTACCGCTATGTTGCCCAGACTGCTCTCAAATTCCTGGCCTGAAGCAATTTTCCCATATTAGCCTCCTAAATTTCTAGGATTACAGGTGTGAGCCACTGTTCCCAACAGGTGTTCTTAAATGCAATTTCCACACTGTTATTCTGAAGAAGGGCAAGAAGCAAAGAGACCCTCCTTGAAACATAGAAAATAAAAGCATTCACTATTAAGTGGAGGCAGAGTTGATGATCAGCCAAAACTACTTCAACTGTAATCCAGAAGTCCCATTGATACAGGAGTTCTAAAGGAATTATTTAGTCAGAGATTGAAAGTAAGGAAGTCTTTGGTAAGGTTTCCCTTTGAATAAAAAGCAGCCCCAAAACCATTTCTAACAAAGAGCGGCCTGTAAAATCGAGCTGCAGATATAGACAAGCGAGCTGGAAGCTTGCACAGGTGAATGCCAGCAGCTGTAACAATAGGAGGCTACTTGGGTGCCAGGCATGCTCAACCTGACGGCTTTATCTTCCTTTTTCTTTATCAACCACAAGTGCAGTAAGGGACAGAAAACATGCACTGGCCAAATAGAAAACCTATATGCATAAGAAGATTCGGGTGGATAGCCAGCTTCTTCACGAGCTATGTAAAGCTCTCACCTGGTCCAACCCATATTTGGACCCTATGTAAATCAAACACCACCTCCTCAACAAGTCTATAAAACCTTGTGCAGTTCACCAGAAAACACACTCAGAAGCCCCTCTCTCTCTCTGCAGAAGAGAGAGATGTTCTCTTTTCTTCTTTTGCCTGTAAAACGTCCATTCTTAACCTCACTCCATGTGTATTCACGTCCTTGATTTTCTTGACATGAGGCAATGTACCTTGGTTATTACCTCAGATGGACAATGCTGCTTCATCATAGTTCTGTTTTGTTCAGGTTGTGGGACAAACGGCTCCTTTCCTCTGCAACCTCAGCTCAACCTTACTCAGGCCTCCTTCCAGCAGAATCACAGAGCCAAATGAAACCCCTTAAGTCTTCTTTTAAATTGGTAGCCGCTCCAAAGAAAGCAACATGATGAGTTTCAGGTGGTCCGGGGTGGGGGCAGTGCTACTCTGGCTTCTCCGCGCTCAGTCCCTCTCAGTTCAAAAGCGCACCACGTGGAGCAATAGAACACCTGCTCATCTGAGTTTTAAAAATAGTGGGAGGAAAAGCGCTGTCTTCATGCTTATTTCCCTGGCAGAGGGGAGGTCATAAAACACTAATTTCTAAGCAGTGGACCAGAGTTTTACTGATCTCTTCTGTTACTGACTCATGTTTACCCAGAGAAACCACATCACAATTCTGAGTCTCCTCTGGCAAGAGAAGGAATCGGATTCATGATTCTCTCAGCCCCCTTTCCACAGTGGAGTTCTGACTCCACTTCTAAAATACTTTTCTGCAAGCCTCTGTACCTCATAAATGTTTTACTATACTCGAGACAGCAAAGGGAAGCACAGATTAGCTACTGTTTTCAGAACAGTGGAAACATGCTGTCTTC